CCGAATAGGGCCCTACGCGGCGCGAATCCGGATATAGTCGGGCTCCAATGCGGGTACCGGACACCAAGTGAGAAACCAAAAAAAGGGAGCGCCTCCACCAATTGGGGCCCTACACAGCGCGAATTCAAATATAGTCGGGCTCCCATGCGAATACCGAACACCGAACGGGAAACCAAAAAAAATTCACTCAAAGAAGTTATGTATGTAAATTAGGTGTGAACAAGTTTTGCGCTTTCAACCTCTAACCAACTTTAGTTGACTAAACCTCATTTCTTTTATTACTTATATTATATGTAGGGTAACAATTTAGGTGCTCTGAACCTATGCCAAAACCAATAACAAGTAAGAAATTGTAGAAGGAATATGTTTTGTCAAAAAATCACTAAATAGTACAATCTTGGCAAGTTTTTGCAACTAGGCTCCACCCGAACATAGTTGTACGTGTGATATTAACTTATATTCATTTTTTTTGTTTCTCGCCCAATATCCGGTATCTGATTTGGGGCCGACTAATCCTGATTCTCACTGTGAAGTCTCACGTTTGGGGGTAAAGTATTTCTTGCCAAAGACGATTCATGAGGCTCAAACCGAGATCTCTGGTTAAGATAGGAAGGGGTATTTACTACCCGATCACAACTTTTGAAGGTAATTTATATTCACTACTAGTTGTAACGCATTTTTTATGTTAGAAAATGCAATTTAACCTCCTATATGGAAAATTACGTGACTTATTTTTCAGGTTAATTAACTTTTTTCTTTATGGTCTTTTTAACTGACCTTAGGGTGTAAAAAACTTTAATGTTGTGCAGGTAAGTTTTTACCAAAATTAAACGTTATGTTGAATGCTCACTCAGATGAGGCAGAAGTTGGAACCACAAGGAAACCTGGCTTACTGAAATTTTCACAGCATTTATTGTATTCAATTATTACTGAATGGGTTGATGCCAATTAAATAATTTAGAGTGTCAAGTATTCATGGGTTTTCTAGCTTTCTGCTAATAATAATGAATTTGACATAATAAGGAATTAATCGTTGTTTTCCACGTTATTCTTGGCACAATATATAACTGCTGCCCCATAAATCTCTCCTGGAAATGTTGCCAAGAATGGTAAAATTTATTTCAGTTGCAATGATCCTACATTTTGAACCATATTGACTCTCTCCGTTCACTTTTACTTGTCTACTGTGGAAGGCTTGTTGAGCTGTCAATATACGCTTGGCTTGTCGGGTTTTGGGATTTGATGGGATGTAACGACCAGCCCAACATGCCAAGCCCATATTGACGACTCTACAAATGAGGTAGAACCCTTTTTGATATGCTAAATTAAGCTTTAATTTCTAATTGAATATCGGAATGAAATGTCCTAAAGAGTCCTAATGTTAATTAGGATAGAATAGAATCACTGCCCCGGAATTGATTATTCTTTTTTTTTTTTTTACTTTTTATTAAGTTCGATTCTAGTTTCAAGTTCAACAAGAAAAAAAAAGGAGTGCGTTATTTTTAATCTTAATGTTTTTCATCTCTTTCTTTTCCTGTTTTCTCCGCTCTGTGCAATGATCTTATACATTAACTTTATCTCGATTAGATACTTATTTTGCTTAGGATTGAGGCATAACAAGTGTTGGGATAACTCATGTTATGTCTATCGAAAATAACCTCTCTATCTCTAAATATGTTGTTGTTTCATAACACATGCTATATTTAACTAGAATCAAGTACAATTTTGTTCACAAGAAGGAATGTGAAGATGTTCACAATTAATTAACCTTCTATTGAAATAAAATAACTCATGAATTTGTTAGCAAAAACTAAGATTACAAAGTCAAAACTAATTTAACCTCCTTAAAACGCAAACTAAAAATGCTAAAACATAAGCTTCAATTTGACAATTTTTTTGAGTTTGATCATGAAATGTAAGAAAGCCTAGGTTTACATATCATAAATTCAATTACTTTTGAAGTCAATACCCGAACCTATTACACTTGCATTTTGGCCAAATGCAAATTTCCTTCTTGTTTTCCCTAAAGCAAATGCCATGTATAGCAAGGATTTACATGAGGTGCGTTCTTGACTTCTTCCCTAAGCCTCCCAACAAACATTGAGTAAACTCATCCTTCTTTCCTCCTCCATCCTTCAATTTTAACTGCAGTATACAGCGGCGGAGCCAGAAATTTTACTAAGGTGTGTCAAAATATAAAAAAATAAAAACACACGAAGAAAATTAGGTGAGTCAACATATAATACAATAACAACAATCCAGTAAAATTCCACTAGTGACGTCTGAGGAAGATAGTGTATACGCAGACCATACTCGACCCCAGAGGTGTAGAGAGAAGTCAATATATAGTATACATGCAAAAAAATAAATTTTGACCTAGCTAAACAGTGTAACTTTCTGGCGAATGCATGTCAAATGACATTCCTTAACGTAAGGTGGCTCCATCACTGGCAGTATATGCATACACTAACATTAATTGGTATATATAGGATTTGATTTCGTATACATTGACACTGTAAAGAATTTTCATGCAATTCAATTTAATTTAGCACGTCACAGCAAATTGCATGTCTTATGGTCGGTTACTATGATCTATCTTTTAGATGACTTGATAGTGCAATAATTTTTTTACATCGTAAATTTTTCAAAAATGGTAACTAACTTGCGCAATTTAAACTGCATTGATAGAGCCAATTTCTTTATACTATCAGTGTGTATACTCAAATCTGATTGATAACCATAGCAATGGCTTACCTTAGATTTTCATCAAGCGTTGTCGCACGCTACAGCTGTTTTGATCCTTTCAACAGTGCATTTGATGAGACTATTAACTGTTGCAACCGATCCGAGTGAGAGTTTTGCAGTTGGAACTGAATCAACTAATATCTGAAATGCAACAGTGAGTAGTGATCCACCATTCCCAACTTCAGCAACATTATTTCCTCCACAATGACCACTCGTCGAACCATCTGGTAGTATCGCGAATCCAGATGGTAAAAGAGCGACATAATCAGGGTCGCCACCACTTAACACCACATTCATTGCAACAATATCAACTGGTGCATAAATAACATAAGAGCCGGTAGAATCAGTTGAACTTTCTTGTAGTATTAGCATATTACTCTGGCTTGAATTTCCACTCTGCAACAAAATTAATTAGCAAAAATTAATTTACAATCTGTTGGTGGTGTCTCTGTTGTTGAAATTAATGAAATAGATAAGTAAGAAGACGGTACATTAACGCGGAGTAGAGATACACAGTTGCCAGGATCGCGACCATTTGCTATATGTGCCATTTCTTGAACTAGGCCTCCATTTGAAAGTATATCCCACTGCATATTTTATGGATAGTCAGATTTTGACAACAGAATATAACAATTGTAAATAAACAATGCAAACCTTGTTGACCCAAATTGCATTATTAAAATCAACAAAATTGAAACTGAGATGATTGGGATGGTATAGATAAGTACAGTCAAACTTCGGTATAACAACATCGTTTGTTTCAGATTCTTTTGGTTGTTATAACGAAATACTGTTATATAGAACATATATTATAACATAACATGAAAATTGATTCCAAAGAAACTTGGCATTTATAGTGATTGGTTGTTATACAACGATGCTGTTATAGAGAGGTCTGACCGTATAATTTTGGTTATACACAATAAATTAAGTGAAAAGCTTGTATGAAAAAGATTTCTTGGAATAACCAATCGAACCAAACCATTGACACCGTATAATGATTTACCTCACTTCTGGAGTTTTCATCGCGAAGAAAATCAAAGACTCTTTTTGGAGGAACTGGCAACCAAAATGAAGTGGCAGCACTCAGGACTATACCAGGAGGTCGCCCTGGATCATCGATACTCTTTCTAGTCATAACCCTAACATCATCGGCACCACTTCCGGATAATGTAGTCCAGGTATGAGCAGTTGAGGCACCAACACCCGCACAGAAACTCATTACCATCCTCTCAGCAAGTTTTAACATACTTCTTCGACCTTCAGGACTCGTTATGACTGCAACGAAAACTTAATCGAATCAAGATCACAAGAAATTATGTCTCCAAATAGATAAAAGGGGATAGTTAAGATATGTTTATTACCCCCAATATCCCCTGTTGGAATGTTATTAGCCATTGCACTTGCGAGTCGTTCACATTGTCTATCCAACGTTGCTACCCAACGTTTCGCCCCAAATGCGAGGCCTGAATTAACAAGAGGTCTGTAGATATTATGGACAGCTCTATCATCCACTTCAATGTGCTCGAACCACGTAACCTGGAAGAGAATATAAGCAAATTAGTAAATCGACGAAATGCCAATACTTATTATGATGTTTTAAATTTCAGAGTGGCTAACTTACCTTGGAATAACCATTTGGTAATTCTTGAATTAAACAACCAGATGGCCTTCTTCTACAGCGCGACGTAGAAGTAGGTCGCAAATTGTCCAGGGAAACATCAACTACAGCCCAAGTTCCATCAGAATGGTGTTTACAATATCGAACAAAATAGTTTTCACGAGTTGGAACGAGTGGCGAAGGAACCTGGAACTCAGCTGTCATCTAAAAAAAGTATGACAAACACACCAGTTAGAATAGTAGTAATATTATGCATATACATATACATATATAAGATTTTTGCGAAATTTACGGGATCTGGTGACCCTTCAACGGTACAAGTCGGTCCACCTCTGGCTGACAGTACAAAGAATTGTAACATTACTCGTATATTTTAACATGTTGTAACAGTTCAACTGTCTGTAGGTTACTAATTCCATTTTTATGGATAATTATATGTTAGGATAGTTAAGATCAAGAAAAATGTAGAGGAATTGTAGAATCCAAACCATACCACTTGCAAAGCTCCATTGTAATTTCCAGCAACACCAGTTGATAAGACTTCCAATGTCATTGCCCTTGATACTAGGCCAGCAAAAACACTTGACCATTGATTCTGAAATCAATACCACATTACATATTAAACACAAAAATTAGTATAAATAAAAAGGCAGCCCGATACACAAGGTATCCTGCGTTCACGCAGGGTCCATGGATGGGCCACACCCCAAGTGGTGTGACGAAGATAGCCTAATCTAATGTGGCTGCTTCCACAGCTCAAACCCATAACCTATATGTCACACGGAGACAACTTTACCATTATTCCAAAGCGGTTCACAAAAGGTAGAATCACCAAAACACAATTAAAGACCAAATTAGTAAATCCTTCATCCCAATTCATTTGAAGGTATTTGAATGGTAAATAGTTTAAGAAGTAAAAGACTTTGAAACTTATGATCTAAAACAACTCATCGAAACTTGTGTGGTTGCATTTTTACTAAATATAGAAAGATGCCATTTTGCTTGGCACTGACTATAAATAAAACAGTGTAACATAAAATGGGACAGAGGGAGTAGTAATTAAATCTCTAATAAAAAAATGTTTCCTTACCACATCCATCAAAATTTCAACTAAATTGATGTGATTCATAATAACAACAGCAGATTCTCTTGAGGCTTCAGATTTAAGGCCCAAAGGTTTGGGCCCAATTCCTCTAGGAAATGTCCTCACATATTCTTCTTCACATAGTGTCTCAGTAGAATTATCTGGGCTTGAAATCCACAAAGGTTCTCCAGTTTGGGCTATTCTTATTAATTCTTCCATTGCTGCAACAGCAAGTTCAATGATAATGGGCTTATCAGCATCTGTTGGGCCTGAAACTGATCTTAAAAGATCACCGGCACTATACATTTCTCCAACTAGGCCCGTTTGAGGCCCAAGACTTCCAACTCCAAGATCAAGTGAACGAGTTGATCCAGTAGAAGGAAGATTTGGATAGTTAAGCATTGGTTTCCCAACATATTTTGCTGCAATTCCTGATATCCTGTCAATCTGCAAAAAACACAATGAAAAACCTTAAGTAGTTAGCATAAATTAAACTTTTTGTCCCAAATTTATACAATTTTCACAAATTTAAACAATTTTACTTCATCCTTTTAATAATGTCTTTCTCCTATAACTAACAATCCTTTTGTCCCAATCTATGTGGCATGGATAAGATTTCAAGAGTCCATAGCTCGAACTCGTGGCCTATAAGTCACACAGACACAACTTTACCATTGCTCCAAGGCTCCACGTCATTAAACTATATTCTGTGTGACGATACAATAAATTCATGATTCAAATGCATAGTAGTTATACATGTAGTGGTACCTCTTCTCTTAGACGAGCATTTTCAATTCTCAAATGCTGTTCGTCAAATGACATCTCTCCAATGGCAGCAGGGCCTCCACAGTTTGGACATGTAGCATTGCCGAGGGCTTCTTTATAGCGTATGTTCTCTGCACGAAGCTTCTCATTTTCATTCCTCAATTGTGAGTTCTCATGTCGTTCATGTTGAGCCTGCAAATAATAATAATAATAGGAATTAGACCACTAAATCAATGCAGAAATTTTAAACGGCTCCTTTAAAATGACTCTAAATCTTATACTATATTTCTCATTCATGTAGGCATTTATTTGCTCTTTATAATTTTTAACCGCTCCTTAAAATGTCCCAAAATCTTAACTATTTATCATATATACAATCATATAATGCTCTATAAATTTTTAAAGATTTTTATTTTTGTGCAACGACATTGCAAGAATTTTTATATTATCAGTTCACTTAAAAAATGATTACATATAATCGGCCTATAAAAAGTGGGAATAGTGATCTGGAAAATAAGATAGGTTACCAAGGAGTACAACAAACTCAATGTAATATTTCTTTTTTAATTTTGTCAGTATATGTAAGTTAAATTCAATTTTAAGTATATTTCATAAAATGAATGAGCAAAAAGATGGGAAAATTGACTGAGGAACAAAATGAACCCACCTTCATTTGAGTACGCTTGTTCTGGAACCAAAATTTCACTTGCAAAGGCTCTAATGCTAATCGTTTTCCAAGTTCTTTTCTTTGTTTATCATCAGGATGAGGACACTCTTTGAAAAACCTGAATAAATAAATATTTTGCGGACTTAGGTTATATTTAGCAGTAATACTAATGAATAGAGTTTATATTTATACTCTAATAGTATAAAAAACCTTGCAATTATAATTGCGGGTAACTGCTCATAATAAGTTGAATTAGTTACCGGGAAAGTAACATAGACAACTATTGTAACAACAGATTAAATTACACTGATAGTATAATAAGCGTGCTTACGATTCCATTTCTTGAATTTGAATTTGTGTATGTCGATGATAACGTTTCTTCTTATTGGGACGTTGATTAGGATCTTGATCATCACCAGAAGGATTTTCCATAATATCAGTACCTGATTTGGTGTCAAATTCATCATCTGGAATCAAGTCTAACTCATTTTCTGGTGATTTATGTGACATATCAAGTAGATGATGGTGGCTCTCAAACATGTTTGGCTGAAACATTTTGACTTAAATCTATATATATCCGTTCTTGCTAAGCTATGGATTTGTTACCTGCCCAAAAAAAAAATAGAAAATAAAATTAGTTACTATATAAAGTGTGGACAAAACACAAAACCTTAGGAAATGAAAATAGAGAAAAACACAACTTGAGTTTTATCACAAGCACATGCATAAATTACACAATTTTTGTGATATGCTAAGTTAACGTTGACTCAGAACTCACGGCGTCTAAATTTTGGATATGTCATTGGAAACAGATCTCAAAAAAAGTACAAGAATTTGGAGAGTCAGTCAAATATTGGTTAAAATGACTTACTTTTCTTGGATTTGAGCCTTTCAAGAAAACCCAATGTTCATATTAATTCTCCTATGATAATACAAAAAATGATACAAAGCCCATAAAACCCTAGAAAGACTTCTCCCTTTTGTCTTTCCTCTTTATATAACTATGAGTAATAGTTTTTTGTTTTTGACTTCTTAGAATTTGAGGGAGTTGAGTTTAATATTTTCTTTTAATTGTGTCTGAAGAAAAAATAAGTAGGATAAATTTACAAATAACAAATGGGAAAATATGACTTTGGTTTTGAGATGTCAAAAAAAATCTCTAATTTCTCTCTCTTGTCTGGTTTTGATGTGCCAAAAAGACTGAAATGAGAAATTTTTAGGAAAAGAACAAAGACAGAGTTGACACTAAGAGAACCCAAATATTGCCAGTTATTTTTTATTACTTACTTAAAATACCCTCAGATAACGTCCACGAATATTTCGGCAGATTCCAACTACAGTCATATTTCTCATTTCTGCATAAAAATATAACGGAAAAATATATAAGTCAAAGTTAGAAATTAAAGCAATTTGAAAAGTTAACACTCATATGGTGGTTTTTGAACAAGTAAAACTTAGAAATACACGCACAACCACAACACCAACGACCTAGTAAAATCCCATTAATAATGTCTGGGAAAGGTAGTGTGTATGCAGACTTTACCGACTCCTTTCCCGAGAGAATAGAGAGGCTGTTTACGAAATATCTCGGCCCACACATACACACACAAAACTAAAATAACTCACAATATCTTGAAGTCTTGAAACAAAAGTAAGAAAAAACCCTCTTGAAGTTTTAGGGTTTAGATCTGATTTGCAAGCAAAAAAAGTAGGTTAGAAAACCACTTTTTGGAGGTTGAAAGTGTGGTTTCCTTTTCTTTTTATGTGCTTTTCATATGGTAAAAAAAACAACTATCTTGTGAATAGAATTTAAGAAGAATTGTTGAGGCAAGAAAATTAAAGAAGCAAAAGGAGATATGAGAAAAAGAGAGTATATGAGAGATATAGAGAGAGAGAGAAGATGAAAAGGGATTTGGAGAGGTGATAGAGAATGGAGAAGAAAGGAAAAAGGGGAAGAAAATAGAGAATATATGTGACAATTAAAGGAGTTAATGCAGTTTGCATAAAGAGGATGCAATAGCATTTAATGGCGGGAGGAGATGCTGTTAATGATATTGTTGAAGAGAGAGAGAAAAAAAAGAATATATATATATATGTGTGTGTGTATAGTATATCTTTAAATTTCTTGTGTAGGGGTATGGTGAAACAACGTATGCCTTCTTAACTTCTATATTAGCAGAATATACAGCTCAAATCTCACTCGATCCAAGACTTCCTATTTTTTTAATTTATAATTGTAGTGTTTGGGCTTACGTATATCTTGACTAATTTTATATAAGGTACTTGCTATCTTTTATCAGGACAAATATTGAGTTACTTTATCCATCAAAATTTGAACAGGTGCAAAGACATCAACTAGGGCTTTTTGTCTCCGCTGGATTTGAATCAAGTCTTCATATTTCTATATGTCCATTCTTTTTTTTTGTCTATAACTTTGTAACAGTGGCGAATGAATCATCGAAAAGTTAAACTATACAAATAGTGTAAAATAAAATCTTTTTGTTCCCCTTAACATAAGAGAAATACATGTTCAAATCCCCAGTGCAACAATTTTTTGTTTCTTAAGTCCCATCATAATAATAGCCGTCTCCATCACTGCTTATATATATTGCGAAAAATAATGAAAACAAAAGCTTCTATACACTAGGTTTTCTCTTGATAGATTTTGTTTTAGTTTTACCTACAATACTAATTTCTTTCTTCTCTCTATTTATTGCTTATGCTTTTTTAATTTCTTTTGAATAAGTAATAAATGCGTTTTTCTTGACTAACTAAATGATGAGCATATAGTCTTAATCAGAGTTACCAACGGTAAAGTAAAATGAAGGATAAGAAACTAATGGCGTTTACTAGAATTTGAGTCTATACAAATATATTCATGAATATATTTATTTATAATTATCAACTTGCTGAGTCAATTAGGAAATTTGAATATCTTAATTAAATTTTATCTTGTTGAGAAATTGTGAAGGTTTCAATGATCTTAGTTCAGTTTGCATGGTATAAATACATGCAAAAATTTTTGATGTATGTATTTCAAATTAAATCTTGTTTAGAACACTATGAAGACTAACAAATAAGGTAAAGTAGCTAAATATTCAAATATTGCTGGTAAATTGTGGCATAAGACATTTAATTCGAAGTAAATGTTTGTTTAATAGTATATTCTAATTTTCTAAAGTAGCAACGAGTAATTCTTTTCCAAAACAAAATGTATAACAACGACAAAAACAACAAACCCAGTTATTTCCCATAAGTGGAGTCAGGGGAGGTAGTGTGTAAGTAGAGGCGGAGTCAGGATTTTAAGTTTATGGGTTCGGGATTCTAATCGTTTTAAGTTACTAGGTTCTCAAGTAATAATTTATAAATATTCAATGAACTTTTTAAGACAAATACAAAGTTCGAACCAAAATTACTGGATTCGGCTGAACCCGTTGCCGGATTTCTGCCTCCGCCCCTGTGTGTAAGCAGGCCTTACCCTTATCCTGGTAAGGCGGAGAGACTATTTTGGATTGACCCTCGGCTAAAGGAAAAAAGTGTATAACATAATCAAATTGGCTTCATAATCCTCCTTTGTTTCCAGTATGCTAATCAATAATTAGTATTCTAATAAGTTCATTTCCTCTAATTTTTGTTATCCAAGGAAAGTCCAGACAAGATACAAAGAAAAAGACTCTTGTTTGAGATTACAGGTTAGATTTGTTATGAGAAATTCAAGATTTTGCAATCCCTTGCAATAAATCCAATCTAATCCAATATATTTAATTAGTGTCCAAATATGGTGAGGATTTTTCCTAAAATACAAATATATGTATATTGAGTCAACGTTATGTAGATTAAGCAAAATCTGATAGATACATACTATAACCCTTCCCATCAGATATTTGTACGCATGCAAATATGATCTTGATTTTGTTTCTTATTATACCTTTTTATTATTATATATAAGGATATGTACACAGTATCTAAGAGCCTCTTTGGCCAAGCTTCTGGGAGGTCAAAAGTATTTTTTTCCTCCAAAAAAGTACTTTTTAAAAAATTTGAGTTGTTTGGCCAATACAAAAAAATACTTTTTGCCAGCGGTAGAAGCAGTTTTTCTGCTTTTGGGAAGAAGCAGAAAATTCTAGCTTCTTCCAAAAAGCAGAAGCAGAAGTAGAAAATAAATTTATTTAGGACAAAACTATACTCACCATAAATTTATATTTTCCAAACTATCCCTTACTAATTTAAGTTTTTTCTTTTTATTTTTGTTTCTAGTTTTTAGCATCTTATTAAAATTAAAGATATCATATATATATGAATCATATTGTAACTTTTCAAAAAATTTATTGACCTTTCTTGTTTTTTATCTTTTCTTTGTGTAATGTCTCGTAACTTTCCAAATTATCTTCTTCTTTTTTCGCACTAAAGCAAATTATTTGCATCTTCTTTGGATTATCAATTCTCTTCCTACAATAATTATTTATAATTTCTTCTATTATATGCTATTAGTTCCTGAATTTTTAAAACAATTATCAAATCTGATTTGTGAAAATGACCTACAAATAGGTAATAAATTTACAATTGCATTGCATAATCTATCTATATATTATTAAAAGAAGAAGAAAATGCATCCATATTCAGTCAAGTGGCAGCCTCACAATAAATCACTTGGCATTTTAGGACAAAGTTAGTAAGGTTAGGTAATAATTAGTTTCTTTTTGAATTTTTTTTTTTAAAATAAATAAATTATACATTATGTGTTGTTAATAATTAGTTACTCTTTTTGAATTAGAATTAAAACATACTTAACTGTTTCTTTTAGGATTTTTTAATATATTTAAAATTATTTTTATTTTACGCTCAATGCCATCTTTCAAGTTTGACACTCAAAATCATCTAGTTACAACTACCATGGCTATACATAATTTCATCCGACAACATACTTTTACCGATAAAGAATTTAACTATTATGCTAATGAAGACATTACTGCAGAGATTGATGAAGGAGATCAGCCTTCTGATATTCCTTTAGAAATGTGAGGCAAGTCTTCTACTAATATGGAAGCATTGTGTGATAGAAGTAGAGATGAAATTGTTGAGAAGTATTATCATATGTGAGTGATTTTACTTATTATTTCATGATAGATTATCAATATATAGTAATTTGTGGATAGACTTCTAATTTATACTGAATGATGTTATTTTAATTATTCAAATCATCATATAAAAATAAGTAATTATACTAGATAATATCATATACATTAGTATAACTATATATGTAAAATTGATTTAAATCTTTAATATGTTTGTTTACTTTATGTTTTATATTTTAATTAAATAAAATAAAAATAATATTAAAAGTCTCTTACGATAAATATTTAACTATATTTTTATATTTAAAAGAATTATACGACCTTGGTACTATCTTTTTTGGTAATTTGGCACTCAAAAGCACTTTTGACATAATTGTCCAAACACAAATTATTTACCAAATGTTGCAAAAAGTACTTCTTAAATGGATTGGCCAAACACAAACAGTTTTTTTTTTAAAAGTACTTCTGAAAAAAAAGTATTTTTCAAAATAAGCAAATTTTGGCAGCTTGATCAACAGGCTCTAAGTAAAAAATCATGAAGTTAATGCAAGATATATTTTGTTTCTAGAAATGCAATTTTCAATTTAAATGTGAAATCTATTAAATTGATTATGCAAAATGGAGAAATAAAACATACCCTCTTATATGGCCACCAAACTGCGCGCCATTAGTCTAATAATAGGTGTGAATTCATTTTTTATTGTTTTTCGTCTCGATTTCCCTAAGCTAATCCTCCTTTACAAAAAACAACAACAAGATTAGGTTTCAATTTGAAGCATTGTTTATATTTCGCAAAGACTTAACTGGAACTGGTTCGATAAGATCAGCTTCCATTTGTAATAATATACTTTAGACTTTTTTTAGTGCTTTCAATAATATATGCATCTTTTAAGCATTAAAAAGAAAAGAAAAAAAAACAAGTTGGGGTGTGAGGATTTATCGACTACATCATCGTCGAGACGCCCCGGTCTGAACATGCCAGATTGGTTAACAAACTCAAGGGCACAATTTGACTAGTTTTATGTTGGTTGTTAATCTATTTGATCACTTCTTCTTTATTCGAGATTTAGACTAGCAATGTGAATAAACTCACATAGACGGAATTATTGGTCCTCCTATTTAATTTTAGAAAAAAGGAAATAAGGAAATCTGCCCCTTATATATAGATAGGAAAAAGAAGAAGAAGAGGAGGATATACCATATTAATCAGTATTTATTTTATGGTCCTATTTCAAGATGGTTTCTTGTCTTTTCGTTTGAAAAGCAACAAGCTGAGTTCTTTTAATACGTATTATTATAATTTATAATATTGGGTGGTTCCTTTTGTCTTAGCTAAGGTATTATTATTATGTAGGAATGTATGCGACTTACGTTGTCTCAGTTTAAACCACAATTAGAAAAAGAAAATTAAAGCTACCTAACATTCTCATGGCATTAGCTAGGTCTTAAATAGTGCTAGTGTTTGGTGCATTAATTAATACCGAAACTAACAGTCAATTAATTCGAAATATTTTATGTTTATATAGCTTAATTTCTCTAAGTCCCTCAGCTTAAAATTGAAATAATCACCATTAACTTGTCTTCAAAGAAAAATAATTAAAATGACTACAATATTAGATCATGATTTACTTCACATCTTCTATATTGTGATGACCCAAAAGGTCATCACTTGATTTAAAAGTAAATTCTGCGTTCCGAGGCCTCAAAAACCTCTTTCGGCATCACCTCGATTTGTGTGCGCAGTCTGGGCGCGTAGCCGGAAAGCTATTATGTGAAAATCTATGAAAAATGATGAATTTTGACTTTAAAATGGATTTAAGTTGACTTCGGTCAATATTTTGGGTAGACGGATCCGAATCCGTGATTTGA